TGATCACCCTATATATGGGAATATACTGTGCGACGTTAAAAGTGTTGGAAAAGTGTGTTGGATTTCTTGACTATAATCTCTTTTACTTAACATTAGCAATTATATTGCGAATAGAGTAATTCCAATCGCCAATTACGGAGAGAGACTTAGCCTGATATACGTACAGTGGCGACTCGACATTTGTGTGCACTTAGGGAGCTGCACTTATAGAACAACAAATAGAAAACCAGAAAACTGTTACACGGAATAGTGACTAGTACTTTATTATCAAAATTATCACATCGAAGTCAGAATACACTTTAAGAAAAATATGTGTCAACGTTAGTTTGACGCATTGAGCTTATCTTCAACAAACTTCTCAATATTTTGTATATTTTTCCGCACTGTCCTGTTGTAAAAGAAAGGCACGTACTATTTCCAAACTAGCAATTGTTGTGCTAGCACTAATAACAGGACTTTCCTCACTATCATCTTATGTCATCTACATCCGTAATTGCTTGATCAGTATCCTTAAAGAGATATACAAGTTCGTGGTCGTTGTCGGGAACTTCGTAAATCACATTCTCTTCAGGAATGTCGAGCAACTATTTACGACAATTATTTATTGTATTATTGTGGCGTTTATGTCATCTTCGCTTAATTTAGAAAATGTGATTAAATTTTTTACTATTTTAGCAAATATCTTATACGCAGTGAACCCCGTTATGCCGAAGTCGAACTTAGCGTCGGGGTCTTCGGATTGGCGCATAAACCGAAGATCATATGATCAGATTACATCACTTCGGATTAACGGGGTATGGATTTTGACGGGCGCGTATTAATGTACAAATATCGAGATTTTTTACTTTTAAATGTGCATTCATGCAAAAGCATGAAACTGCCTCTGCTGACACAGGATCGCAGTATTAGTTACCAGCCTGTTTTAAACATCCAAATCCCCCCTCCACGCGTTGTCACTCCTCCTCTTCCACCACGAACACCTGAACATTAAATAGACTGGCCTTATCAGGTATACCATCGGCTAGGGCATTTTACAATACCTTTAACGCCTCCTGAAACAAGGTACTAAAAAACACACGGCGTAAGATGGCTAAGATCTGTAATCATTCCGCTTGTGTTTGCGAAAAGATCCAGAGACGTTGAAGGATTTGGTATGCCATTTGTTGCGGCTTGTAACATACGTTGATAACGTGTCTAGTCGACTGGGAGATTTGGGATGAGGCAGATACGTTTGAACGGCAGAATTTTTTTACTAGAAGCAGTACTCCTCCCCAATCAATGAGCATCGATGCCACTACGCTCACTCCTCCGGAGACACGTAGATATTATGATGTCGGACAGCGCTCCCCGATGATGGAAGAAGATTAATTTACTATTATTGTTGTTATCATTATATTTAAGATTAATAACATATCTTCACGTTAATTGCAATCAGCTATTTAAATGATATTCAGTTGTCATAACCACATTTTAATTTATAGTATATAAATGTATTGTTATTATTGTGGCCACTATTAATGCGTCATAACCACATTTTAATTTATAGTATATAAATGTATTGTTATTATTGTAGCCACTATTAATGCAGTTTATTCGACATGGCGATGGGTCCAACGGAATGGATATCTGGTCGAGAAAATAGAACATTAGTAATTGTGCATCCCAAGTATTCTGCTATGTGCTCTCTCATTAACAGCTTTAATTAACATAATAATAAGCGTTCCCTGCAAAGGAGCATGATCAACATACGTGCATATAGTAGTAATATCATTTGGAGCGTAGTCATAGTCGGCCATGGTTGTCTGCAAGGTGACTTTTTGGAGTTAGCATAATCAGTTTCGATGTGTCCTTGCGAAAGTGGAGGGAAATGTAATCGTTTTGTTTCTTTTGATCTGCATTTTCACGATGGTTTCTCGTAATCCGCTTCGTTGCCCTTCCCCTGATAACTACTCGTCCTGACCATCCATTCGTAATTTGATCCACTACTGCTTATTATCATACGCATTCCAAATCCATCGTAATGACATCCTCAGGGATCGTCCCTTCTCACGTCTATGTAAAACTCTCCACGTTATCAGCTGCCTCTCGAGCTCTTTTCGTTGTCTTGCAGGCTTGCTTTTCGTTCACTTTTTTGGTAAAAGATACTCTCTGGAAGCGTGTAGGAGTTAAAGTTTATAGCCGGGACAATGATAGTTGTATTCTGTGTGATGTTGATAATGACAACAATGAGGATGTTGACTTTGATGTCGATGATGCCGAGCTGTTAATGACAAAGACAACGGAAGAAGGAGGCCCGGAGTTAGATGATTGTATTAATATTGGTGAGGTTGGTGTCAGTGTCAGCATCTGTCGGCGTTGGGTTGTGCTGTGTTGCGGAAGGAACGGATGAGATGGCTTAAATTATAAATGAACGTAAAAGTTGACTATCACACGTACATCGCGGCGGTAATTCTTGCGTCAAGTCTATGAATTTGTCTTGGTTATTTGTTCTTTTGTCAATTGTGCATTTGATGAGTCAAGGACTTGAAGCTGACAAGTCACATGTGGATGTATCAATTCCCATACAAAAATGCGCATACGACTTTCTTCTCTTAGTTCGAAGATCTTGACTTAAAGGTGAAGTATCTTACCCCCTGTAATAAAGGAACTCGCCAACATTAGAAAAACCATTTTACTCCAATATTCTCTATTTTACGTTTTTTCCACTGGTCTAATGCTTCGTATAATCATAAGGTATTGGTATGCCTTTAAACCGAGTTTCGAATGAGTGCTCTGTCTTTATAAAGCAAATTCTCGTGCTTTAAATCTATAGAAAAATGGTTTTCGCACTATATGAAATAATTTGCCATTGTTACGCAAGCTGATCAGATAAGTAAGTCACATGATAAAATCTTCCTCCGCAGTCAGCAAACTCATGATCTCCACATCGAATAATTTCGCTCAGTAATACAAAAGTTAAATTAGTAATGCGTGTCGAAAAATCCGCAACAGGCGCAATAATAGCAAAAAAATCCGCAACAGCATAATTAGAAATAGCTAAAGAGTTGCGTTTTTCCCGCAACGCTCGAAGATATATAAGTAGCCCATATTCCATCACCAAATCTTCATGTTGCCAATGTCAATGTTGAAATAAATAAAATATTGACTGATCTTAGTAATATTCTCCCGCAATCCTTTATTGTAAATATACATAATTTAATATTCTATCGTCAAAATAATTGATTATTCGACCGGACGTTCCAATAAACGGCTCATTCAAGCTGTAAAGGAACTCCAATAAACGGCTCACTTAAACTGTAACGGAAATAGCATTGATTTAATCAAACTAGTAAGGTCCGCTGATCAATTACGTGAATAACGGAACGAGAGTTCATAATTAATTATCGAGACGATTAAAATAGTATTATTCCCCTTCGATTCTTTAATAGAATAATTGTTGTTATTATTCTATTAGAGGTACCCTTATTTGTATTCACGAGTGTTTGAAACTCGGATAGGGAGTGAGAAGCGCGCATAATTATAAATAGGTTACTTGAGGCTTAATTCAGTCTTAATTGCACAACTATCATAGTAAGGGCGATAGTACAAGCTAAGCCTGGTTCCCCTGGTCAGTGAACACACCTACACACAAAAAGATAAATCGCTCTCCCAAAACCCCCATTTAATTCCTGACCATAACACAAATAATGCCTTCTGATGAAACAACATCCATCTCAGGTGTACTTAGTAATAGACAATTTGTAGTCATCATATGAAGTGCCTGAATAAAAGCTAGGACTTTTCATCCAAGCCTTCAGGATTTGCTTTGCTTTCCACTTGCATCTCTCCTCATTTGTCATTATGTCAAAGAAATCCTTCATATTCCCTATGTCACTGTCATCAGCTTCAATCTCAAAATCATCAAGCTTTTGTCTGTTTGCAATAGTAATAGGAGGGTATGCAAAAGGCTGTGCAGATAAAGTCTCTGATTGCTCTGTCAATGTAACAGATTCAGCAATTGTAATGGCTGCTAGAAGATTGGTGCTGTCAAGCCTAGGTCTTAAAAGGTGACGTATTCCTCAGCGATTTCTGCTCAATGGTAACAAACATTTCTGATCTGTGGCACAGTAAATATTTGGTGTCAGATATAAATAGAGATATAGATGACCTGATATATCCACATCTGGTGTCAAATGTAAAATTGTGTTACTAGAGTGTGTCAAAATTCTGCATAGCTGATCAGACCCCATTATATTGAAATCCAGTGTCAAAATTAGTGAAACAGTAGTTAGACATATAAGCAGTTGTAGTTTTCCACTCTGAACATTGTCTTCAGTCTTCAGTTTTCAGTTTAAGTCTTCAATCTATTTTATCTGTCCTTATAATCCTTGTAATTAGAATAGCTCTTTGAATTCTAATAAATCTGTAATTGATATAATAATAAGATGTTATTTTTGTTCATTCCCTGGTGAGTTTTATTTGATTGCTGGTTAAGTGACAAAATTGCTTTCTCAATCAGCAATTAATAAGTTTGATCTTGCCATTAAGCTTATCAGAACTTAGGTATCAGGATTTCTATTTAATTGCATGTTTAATGTGCATTACTATTTATAAACTTTCCCCATCGATAGATTTTCGTTAATAACCCCTAGCAAATCATAATTGTTGTTTGACTCAGAGGTTAAATAGAATCCAGAGAAAGCATATACAGATAGTCAGATTGTAAATCCGTGAGTATTGATAAATCTTATTAAAGCCAGAAGATGACTAATCCCAAGGTCATTACACAAATGCTCTCTCACGTGTGGCAATCTGACAGTGCCATGCTCCATAATTTTTCCATTTTCGAGCCAATAAAAGATCCAATCTTCTCTGAAATAACAACTACAGGATAGTTTGAATGCATGCTTGCCAGAATCAGCTCCTCAATGGCCTGATTGATGTGTACATTTTTGATGCTCTTCTTCAGTTCAATCACAATGATGACTCTGCCACTCACATGACAAGTACTGATGTATTCTTTTTTTGCAATGACAACATCTGCAGTTCGTGTATGGTAGTGTTTGACCCATATTAATATATGCTGGACTGGTGCATCAGATGAAGATGAGGTTCCTGTCATGGGAAAGGGAAGAGAATCTCCATAGTATGAGAAGAGATTTCTCTCTTGCCAAAACTCATACCATACTATTGTGGAGGGAATGGCAATGTTGTTCTCAAGCCATTGAAGATACTGTGGTGATTGATTATGATTGCCTTCTGGAAGTTCCTCATCCCACTCAAAACTAACCCACTTATTTGTTGGATTTGCTTGGATATTAACTGCTTCTCTAGTAAAATTAAAGGCTTCAAGCAGCTTCTGACATGTACATGTATCCATGTTTGAGACTGAAACAGGTCCCTGTTGGTGTTCAGCTGAGATCAAACAAATAAGAGAATGGTTGAAAAAGAAGTTCAACCATTCAAAAAGTGCTGATTACCTTCCAGTAGCTCAACAAGCTTTTCCTCCATATCAACCAGTTCCAATTTCCTTTTCCCCAATACAGTTGATGGCTGCCCTATAGTTTAAGTGCAAATGTGACAAAAAAAATGGAGATAGCAAGGATGGAGTAAAGTTAACTTAGCAAAAAGTGCACTAAACATGGATGGAGGGGTATAATGAGATGGGATAGATGGGTAGAAACAATTGTGTCTACTTTGCTATGATCTATTCTACATGGATGGGAAACCACTTGATAAAAATGTCTTTGCTCAGTGTTGCAAAATCATTATGAACAGTGCAATCTCTCCAAAAGTCACATACCTTTGAGTTGTTGGATGTATTTACTGATCATAGATGCAGGTCCACAAACCATTCCATAATGCATCAAGTCCTCCATCATCAGCTCGAGAAACACACTGCCTTCAATCTTGTTTTGTTGTAAGATTCCAAAGTTGTCATCATCCAATTTGTTCAGATAAACACTTTGAAGGTGATTGATGAGGTCATCCATGCTCCACTTTTTGACCTCACTGACAGAGGGCCTTGCAGAAGCAGAGAGCGAACTTTCTGACTCCTAGATATGCAGAAATATGTTATAATAGCAAAAGTGATAAAAATCACCCCAAGGCCTACTACCTCAAGTGGCTGGACATCAGACATATCTTTGGGAAGTGAATGAGTGACAGTCAGTTGTCGGGTTTTGCTTTGAGAACGAGCTGTGGTCGTGCTTCAAGAGCGAGCGCGTTGTTTTCCCTTTCCTCTGGTCATAATCTGAGTATGGCAAACAAAATTTTTTTGCTTAGTCCCGCACACCAAATTTTTTTGCTCAGTCCCGCGCGCACGTTGATGAATGTGCCAAATGATCGACAGTTCAAATCAAAACCCATTTTTCAAGGCATTTGTGTGCCAACGTCATGCATTAGTTAAATGGTTGCGAAATTCGCGGGGCGTCGCTTGTTTTTTTATAACTATAACCTTTTTTTTTCTGAGACGGGGGACCCTTTAATATTACGCATGATCACACCATATGAAACTCAGCTTATAATCTCACCCCTCCATGGCATTAGAAATTGCTGAAATGACTCGCGGAGCGAGGAGACTTTGCCACTGATTTACTTGAGTACCAAGGTGCTCGCACTCATGCGTTATTCCCATTTTTCTTTTTCCAATAATTTGCTTTATTGCGATATTTCCCGGCGTGTTGTACACACATACCGTATTTAGAAGCGGTTGGTGAGCCACACTCTGCCACAATAACAAGGAAAGCGTGATCGCATTTTCCAATGAAGGGCACAACCTTCTTGCCGGTAGCAGTCTTTCCGCAAATGCGTCCATTGATGTAAATATGTGGACACGAATAGAATGCCATTACTATAACTGTAATTAATATTAAATAATAATTTTTCAAATTGTCGCTTTTATTATAACTTAATAAATCAGCGCATATATTACATAACTCGACCAACAAAATGTCTAAAGGAAATATCCTTCCGCAAAGCAGAACATGTAGTGTCTGAGGAGATAAATAATAAAACCGTTACTTCTAAACAGAAAGAGAATAACGATTTGTTTGAAATACTCTTAGTGGAATACGCAAAATCCCATGATTTTCCCAGTCGAATCTCAAAACGATTCTTTTAATAATGACAAGGGTTTATCTACAGGTATGAACCCATTAATTGAATTTCGGGATTTAACGGATCTTGATTACAATTTGAGTATTATAAACCATTTTATTTTCAAAAAATTGTTTTCATCTGAAAGATGCGAAAAAAATTATATTAATGATTATTACGATGAGTACTATGATGATGAATACTATGCCGATGAATATTACGACAATGAAGGTATAATAAAAATTTCCAATTCTCTTTGGGAAGAAAAAATTACTTCTTGAAGGTTTTCATCTAAAAGAAATTAATTCTAAATATATTGTTCGAACGGCAAGCATTAATTGATCATTCCTTCTGAAGTTTATGGAAGCCCATATACACACAAAATTATTGATGGACACAAACCACTGCAGTTAATGCTCGATATTGATGTAAGACAAAAACCTGACCTAATTTTTCTTCATTAGATAATGAAAAAATTACTCGCCAAGATTTAATTTCCCGAAATTTAGATGCTTCTATAGATGTAATTTATACTAATTTAAGAAGTTATCATCGCGCGAATGTTTTGCTTTGGCTAGTTCGTCCGATGCAAACAAACGTAGTTGGCATATCATATTTCCATATGCTCGATTTGTAGAATAGAGAACTTCAAGGCTTTACAAAAGAAGTTATTAAATTGGTTGGAAAACCTTATTGATGTCGGGCTTCCTAAATCGCGATTTAGTCCTGTCGAGCACGGGTTTAACCGATTAGAATATTATTTTTTGGTCCAAAAAAATTGGATTGTTACGATGAACGTTTTCAGACGAAGCGGAATCCCAACCTATCAAAGATGAAAATGCGTTGGTTAAGGGTGCTAATTTAGTCGCTCAAAAGTACAAGTGGCTTAATATTGAGAAAGTCAAAAACGGATTTATTAATTTTCAAGCACAATTGTCTAACGGGTGTCCTATAACTACTATCGCGAGGGACTTTTATTCACAACAAGATGCTCGCTAAAGCATGTCCTATAAATCACCAAAAATCGGTTACAGTAACGTGACCATCCGTACGACATCTTCAGCCAGTCATCAGCCTTGAAATCTTGCGTCGCATGTGTTGCACGCAGATTTCTTTATTTAGATCTGAGTTGCGAGTAAGGATAGTATAGGATTTGGGTGATTCCAGTCCACTTATAATCACCAAATATTTGACGTTTACATTCCCTAATAAGAGGTTATGTCCTAATCGAGAAACGTTTAAGAAGTAAGTATAAAAAAATATAATTGAATTTGTATAACAATCAAGGCGATTTAACTATATCTGACTGGGATGTTATTATTGTCCAGGTTGAAAGTATGCATCGTCTTTCTCTTTATGGCAGTCGTTCTTGTGTAGTCATCCTAGATGAAGCAAACTCTATCATGCATCAAACGTCTAGTAGCACTACGTAAGAACATTTATTATTGCTGCTATGTTAACGAACACTCATTGGCAATTAACTCGATTAAGCATCATAGAACTTTTTACAGCACCAGGATAATCAATCGTATCGGGTGTCAATAGTAATAGAATTTAAATTGAATAGTACCCTTCATCGCACACAAGTACAACGGGTACAAAAATAAGTTTCTCCGATATACAGTATACTCGAAACTATATTCAGTGGCCTATGGTAATATATATGTCCACATGTTTGTGTTTACTTATTACTAATTCTTGAACTACGTTTGTGACATTTGAGACAAGCTAATATATGTCACCATTTAACAAAGTTAATGATGACAAATTGGTACATAAAATTGAGTAATAACAGCATAGGTAAATTATATGTCGTTGACGTATTATGTTTATATGTATAGAAGTTCGTTGACCCTGACAGTATGCAAATAGACACCATAGTTTCTAACTTTAAAATTGAAAGGCGTTTTCAGTGTTGATCATTGCCAAAAGGTTTACATTGCATAGGTAGATGTTATTGTTATGGGCTGAGGTTGAGACAACAAACAAGAAAATTTGGGTTCAATCTTTACAATATGTTAATTTCAGTCAATCACTTGACTATCAACAAAAATTGCTGACCCCTGTACTGGGGACATTTCAAAAAATCGTGAACGCGATGACGCGAAATCGATTTTCGTCGTCAATTACTAATAACACAACAACCAAGACACATGGCTGGTACTTACGTAAACTCTTTGTAGTTGTAGTAAGTTGTATTTCAAAGTATATAAGGGAACATTAGTGACGTGCTAATCAGATTTTGCTTCCCTCTTGCTATACGTACAGTGAACCTGCTAGTTGCGCGGGCATGTAATTGTCATGACGATTGAGTCAATTCCAATGCCCAGTGACTATGAAACCGCATGTCCAAAAGAGAAAATATCGCGCGACCTCGGCTCGTTCTTACGATTAAACTATTTGTCTGCTAGGATAATGTAAGAAAGAACGTGGCTATGGGAAGATTGGATCTTTGTGTACGTAATACTGATATTATATTTTACTAATCTTCGCCATCGAATCAGCTAACATTACTATTATGTGTTATCCCTACCAGTCCTCGAATTTTCTTCTCGTTTGAATGCGATAATCCGATGTTGGAAAACACGAAGCACAACCCAACAACCACTTGTTCTACTTCAGGTATATATTACTTGCCTATGTAGACCTTAGGAGAATTTTATCGCTTGCTATTATAATGTTTTCCAAGGCCTTCCATCAACCAGATCGAGCAGTGGCCCATCATCTGCGAGGCGTTTATCCTGATATCAGCGAGAAGACAGTTAGAATCTTGGAAGAAAATGAGATTAATGGCCGTACATTTCTCGAACTTACAGAGGAAAAGCTCATGCAAGATGGCATGATTCGTGGACCGGCAGCTAATATATCCAAGAACTCAAAGGTATGTACTGTTTGGAACGATGTTGGGACATAGTAATTTTTTAAAGTACGTCGATTAGTTTACTTAACAATGAAGTTCCAAATATTCATTTACATACATAGAAAAGGCTGTTGAGTAGTATCTCCTTGCTACTGTAGCAAATTACCATATCAGTTCGAGAAGACAAGTGTTATTGTTGTAATTCGAACATAATCTGCTGCAAACTCTCTATGGTTTAACTTTGATTTAGAACAAAAAAAGCTGAGAACACGCGTTAAAATAAATGGCCTTCTGCTGCAAAGGTGGAGATGGGCTTTTCCCACTTGTGGACATGAGTCCTTGAAGAAAAACCATTTTAGTAGGGTCATCTGGATATCCAAGTAATTCTTATTTCCATAGGGAACATTCTGGTTTATCAATATTTGTGTCACTGAAATTAATTCGTGACCATATATTATAATGTAATTTCATAGTGATGGAAAAATCAAATTAAACATTTCACTGCTTGTTATAAGAATGTCATAAGAATTTTAAGAACCTGAATCTCTGGGATAAATTTCCCATTACATATTTAAAATCTCTCACTATTACTATTACTATTAGAATATCATATAAGCCTCCAGTACTGGTGCTGCACATTCTTGTGAATAATAATTCTGTAATTGGCCTTGGGCTTTAGCTGTACAATTAGCAACAGTTTCATGATTTCCTGAATAATCTGTTTAATTCTGGAATGCTAGACTCTATATGTCAACTTCTACCAGTGGGATAAATTCCAATAATAAGTATTTCAATTATCTATCCTTGGACCTATTATGCTTTGTTGGCCTTGGAAAGATTACTAAATTCGGTTCCAATTGACACCAATAGCCCTTGTGTTAGCATAATTAATTTTGTTAACAACGGAAATTTTTATTGAACGTTCTATAGCAAACCCTAGTTAGTATTAGTCTTGAATTGGTGCGACGTTGCCAAGAGGATGTGGTTCGGTTTAAATCCCTGAAATCTTTCGCGGAGAAGTACCCTCAATAAATATTTCGAAACATTGGGCATATAATGTCGTAACAAAATACAGAATGCTTCAAAAAGTGTCCGACCGAAAGTTTATCCCAACAGCATGCATAGAGTAATAAACATGCTAAGGCATATGAACTTTAAAACATTAATGCTTGAGGAATTCTTTGGCTTGTGATATGGGTGACATAAAATTCAATCGACACGAATACACGCGCATTGTTTATAGCCTGCCAATGAATATCTCTTTAATTTTCCGTTAAATGTATACTAAAACGTAATATATCAAATGTCCATTTTACAGAATCATAATACAATCACTAATAATCACAGATAAGATACAGCGGGGGAGATAATTACATCAATACTTGACTGTCATGAGAATAAAATCGTATCATTAACATCATTCTAGTTTTTTTTATGTGTAGAACGTTTCACAAGTCACTGAATAGTGACGCAACCTAGTGTGGAATCTCCATATAAGGAAATACATATAGAGCTGCGTGAAAAAGAGATGATATGGTTAGCGGTTGGATTTGGATTATTGATTACAAGTCTGCATCATATGTCTTACACCCACCATCAGAATAAAATCAATAGCCAGGCTGGCAGTAAAGACAACAGCTAAATTATTAACCCCTTGATTACAGAAAGCCGGTGGCAGAGTTGTGGGGAGAGTCTTTGGTGGAACGGTTGCTGGGTCGGGTGGTTTACTCGGATCTATCCATTTATGACCGCCATTCTGACATTCCCATACGATACGATCTTTATAGTATTGCAATTCCCATGCCATTATACCTCCGCGCACTGCTCCAAGGACAATGATGACAGGATATATGCGGAAGAGTACGCGTGTGAATATAAAGGACCGCTGAAGAAGGGAAAGTGAAATTTATTAATTCGGATGTTATTAAATCTTGCTGAAACAACTATGCGAATATACGTACATTGGCAAAGACGAACACAATAATAATTGCTATTGCCCCTTGCGCCATTGCATAGCCACCGTATATTTGAGCTTCGGGGTAATGGAAAAAGAGAAATTCTAAACAGAAGAGAATACAGTTAGAACAATTATCGTGCAAATGTCTATATATATACATAATATGCTACTGTAATGGCATACTCACCTCCATAATTGAACAGAATAATCCCACCAGCTATACAGTAAATCTGGTCAGATTAAGACGAAAAATTAGCTTTACTGCCGATTTAAAATTCGCGTTACACAAACATTCCCTATTCAGGGTAAAACCTCTGGCTATCTTTTTGTTTCTACAATAATACTACTTACCGCCATTATGGTGGCAAGAACCATCCCACCAGCGCGAAGTGGAAACACTAGAAAACAGTTATCACACCACATTTTGATACTCGTAAAATAACTTGTTCAAATATGGCGGAGGAAGGTAGAACGAGGATCAGAAGTATCTTGCGATAATATCTTGCTAGGATAATGTCGGGAAAAAGTAGACTGGGTATGTTCGTATAGACTGATAGCAGTAAACTTGGATGAAATGGTTTTGCTACGTAACAAGCAATATACGTGGCAATTCGAAAATGTCGTTAATTAAACGTTATCTCGCAAAGAGTGTTTGAGCATTCAATGAATGTGGAGTAAATTTCAACGAAAAATATCTAAAAATTGAGCATCGAGAAAAGTAATTAGAATTTAGCACGTACGTACGTTTAAATGTATCTCTCTCACTCACGTACTCACTCACTCACGTACTCACTCACATACTCACCCTAGCATCAATTTACCCCCAGAAGAATGGGCTTCTGCGTTCTCGGGTATACACTCCCGCTGGTGGAGGCGTTATATGTTAAGGCAGGCGAATGACCAAGGGGAGAGGAAAGAGCAACAATTATTGTTAAACCTTTTCACCCCCTTGCTGTTTCCAATCCCCTTAAATATAAATGAATGAATTACATTGCATGCTGTGATTATTACTACAATTGACACATACTACCCTCACGGAAGCTAAATAAAGGCCCCCTGGGTACAACCTACTTTCGATGGAAGCTTGTGTAAACGGAGTCGAGATTAAATTAGGTCATCGTACAGGAAATCTGGTTTATATTCCTGCCAATTGGACATCATACGGGGAAGCGTGCGAATTCTTACAAGTTAGTTCTTTCTTCTAAAAAAGCTGATACCACTCACTATTTTGGGGATTTTATAATTATAGCGCCTGGACCCCTCCCCTTCTCCCTCCATTCTTTTTATGACTAGAAAATTACGTATTTCACAACAATGGCATTCTCTACATGTAAGAGGAATGAGAGATTACTTGAATGTCTACAAGGCGAATAATTAAAATTTCTCTTTTTTCAGAATAGACTTGAATATTCTTTATTTTGTATTTGCACACTCAGGAATCAGAAGAGTGTATTTACAATAATTCACCAAAACTGATAATTGAAAGTTCCCAGTCTCTAAGGATCCCACTACTTTTTATTCTAATCGAATTCCCGTTGCCTGCTTGCTACCATCCGTTTTGTTCATTTCTACGATTTTCGCTCGGGCCGGAGACTTCGCACAGTCTTACCGGCACGCCAGATTTCGCTCTCTCTGGAAAGATTCAAATACATGCACATTTGTTTAGTGAATTCAGTACGGGAAAAGGCATTTGGAACAGAAAGAAAAAGTCTTACCTGATTTCCTTCAATTCTACTTCTAATTCTTCTCGATACTGAGGGGAAGAGTTCTTTTTTATCACGTGACGAGCTTCTGAACCATCTGCCACCTTTTTATACAATTCCTCAAAGACGGGTTTTGTCGCCTTGTGGAAAGGTTTATACCAATCCAACGCTCCTCTTTGAGCGGTTGTGGAGCAGCATGCATACATCCTTTTAGCAAAACTCCCGTTAATAAATACCCCCAGCATCGGTTGTAGATCCAACGATATATATAAATAAGAAACAAAGGATTCTTACCAATCCATCCCATTCTCTCCGACCAAGGGATAAAGCGACTGCGTAGCCTCTTCTACAGTTTCGTTGAATGCTTCTGACGGTGTATGCCCATTAGCGCGCAAAACTTCATACTGTGCCAAGAATAGACCCTGAATTGCACCCATAAGGACACCTCGTTCGCCAACAAGGTCAGAGACAACTTCTCGATGAAAGGTGGTTTCGTACAAGTATCCGGAACCTATCGCTACTCCCAAAGCAACGGCTTTATCTTTAGCTTTGCCAGAGACGTCTTGAAATACAGCAAAAGAGGAATTTATCCCACGGCCTTCGAGAAATAGAGAGCGGACAGTTCTCCCCGAACTAAGAAAAGTAAAGAGTTGTGGTTAGGATCAAGGTAGTCATGTGATGATAATAAAGTGGAGGGAGGGAAAACTACTTACCCTTTAGGTGCAACCATTATAACATCAATGTTATCTGGGGGAATGACTTCGGTGTCTTCCTTGAATACTATGGAAAAACCATGAGAGAAATACAGAGTTTTTCCTGCAGTCAAGTGTGGTTTCATCGCAGGCCAGAGTTCCTTCTGTGCTGCATCCGAGAGGAGGTTTAGTACGATAGTACCCTTCTGTACAGCTTCTGTAATCGGAAACAAAGTCTTTCCTGGAACCTGCCAAAAAGACGTGTGTTTTTAGTTTTTTTTTGTTTTGAATCGGGGTATTTCCCAAAAAGGATCAACAAACCATGAAATTTTATCACAAAATTCAACTCACCCACCCATTCTCAATAGCTTCTTTCCAACTTCTCCCACCCTCTCTTAATCCAACAATCACGTTCAAACCGTTATCACGCGCATTCAAGCTCTGACCACTTCCTTGCGGCCCATACCCGATGACGGCGATCGTATCATTCTTGAAGAATTCTTGATACTTTTCTTTCGGCCAATCGGAACGTTCGTACACTTTCTCCATGGTCCCTCCAAAGTCCAGTGTCTTTAGTGAGCGTATCTGAGAAAACGTTGTCGTGATCGGGACATTGATCTAATAGAGATAAAGGTGGAACGCAAGAAAAAATAAGCATTAGTTTGGGGAGGGGGGTATAATAAAATACTTGTCGATTGGAAAACAAGTGATGACGGCATTCTCGCTATTAGCGCGCGAAACTTGCTTTTGGTAAATTTTGATTTTGCGGATTCCGATAAACAAATCGATTCTGAACAGCTCACAAGATATCAATCCTTTATGTATACATAAAGATCCTTCTACTATACTATAATCAATATCCATAGACTACGTCCGCATTCTCATTTTTTCCCCCGGATCATAATGATTTACCTTGTGACGTATAGCACTGTTTCTTAAAGCAATACTGGCACCTAGTGACGAACTCCTCGCAAGCGTGACGATTGACCTTGCAGACACTCTTCTGATATTCGAGCGAGATAATATGCCGCGCAGAGAGGCGGCGGTTGCGCGTGTAGATATATTCATTGTGGTAGCGTAATAGAAAGAGAAGAAAAGAAAGTTTTTTTCCCCCGTGTAACAACTACAGTGATCAACTTGATCAAATTCTGAAGGTTACACATTGCTAAGCTTCTTTTCGATTAGTATTAGCGTGCTTTCTAAAGTTTGAGCCAATAAAAAGACGACATATAAAAGAGAGGAGAGGAGGGGGAAAGCCTACTCAAATATCGATTTCATCAAGAATTATGACAAATTTGCAAACTACGGCGCTCTCTTTGACGCATGTCATTTTTAATCCCAATGACCCGTTATCATATTTGTTAGCATACGTGACTTTGTCTCCACTAGCCATTCTTGTGGCGTATGGAACTACAATAATGGCTAGACGAGAAATAGTCGCCATCAATATGTTTATAGGACAGTTAACGTGTGAATTGACAAATGCTATTCTGAAAAGAATCATACGAGAGCAGAGACCGACTGGTTGGTAGGAAGGAAATGGGAGAGAGAGATATACAATTTTTTTTTTTTACATGTGTTTATTTTATTGACAAGATTATAGACAAATTAGGAGATGGATATGGAATGCCATCTTCGCATGCGCAGTTTGTGGGATATTTTGCAGTGTTTTCGATTTTACATTTATACACGAGGTAAGACAGATACGAGAAAAGAGAGAGAGAGGTAAAGAGAGAGAGAATGATTTCGTGTGTCCCTTACTTAAGCACAGCTAGAGCTGCCTAAAGAGTACGAATATCCATTCTAAGTTTTCGAATTTTGATTAGGATCACGTTTGATAACCATAATTGGAAGCATCCGATATCAATTGGTATCTTCTCGGGCACGATTCTAGTCTCGTTTTCAAGGCAAGTCTTCTGGATTACGTGTTAGAAGAAACGTGTAAAACTGCTAGCCGGATAAAATTGACATATGTCCTTTTGCAATAGGGTCTATCTAAATTATCACACCCCAACCCAAGTGATCGTTGGTTACGTTATTGGGTCTATATTCGCGGCATGCTGGTTTGTGTTGGTTGAATATGTCTTGCGCCCTATTGGAGTGTTGAAGAAGGCGGTTGATTCCCCGGTTGCAAAATACTTCTACGTCAAAGACTCGATAAACGTACCTAATGTGCTTAAAGTCGAGTATTCACATTGGAAGAATGTTGAAACAGATAAAGTGAAATGAACCAGTCTGTGAGAACAATGGCGATAGATGGCAATATGTTAGTAGTGACGGCAATTGACATTTATCGAATGCTGCATTTGTTGGAAAATAGTAGACTATTATTTATAAAGTTACTAATAATATAGAACCTTTACACCCTAACCCCCCTCCTCTCTCTCTTTCTCAACTTCCATTAATTCACTCCTCGTAATAAATGAAAAAATTAAGGCGTGTCTGCGGTTTTATTTACTTGACTTTGGGGACATTGACGTTCCATTTACAAAGATTCTATTCAATCTAACAAATTACACACATATACATTCCCATAATTAAAAAAAGTTTCAAAAAAAAGGAATTTTTTTATACAACTCCACATCACCAAACTCGATGCGCAACTTAACGCAGAGTTAAACCCCCCGTAGCCCCCAATCATGTTACAACAAAACTGAATTACCAAGGTCTATCTTTGGCTTGCAAAAATAGTCCTATGTAAGTCGTTCCAATAGATCTGGAGTCGTATAATTTTAATTCTCTCCATTCAAAAACCGTGTTATTATTTGTTTTGGTTGTTTTTCTTTATCTCCGTTTCGAAGCGACCAGAGATCCCACTAATATTACTACTACCAATGAGGACACAATGCTAGCAGCTACTACGGGCCCGATAGCAGTCTTCAACTGTGTCCCAGGTAATCCAGTACTAGATGGAGTAGCTGTGGCCGAAACAGAAGTGTCCTCGGTTGGGGTAGAGTTGTCTGTTGGGGTAGAGTTGTCTGTTGGGGGAGAGTTGTCTGCTGGAGTCGGTGAGGCTGATTTTGAACTAGCACCGGCCTTGGGAGACGTTGGCGTAGGTTTTGCAGGAGGAGTGTTGTTGGCAGTTGTGGAGGTGGAAGGTGTGTTCACCCCAATAGGATTTGCTACGCCCATTCCGGTAGGAATAGCAGTGGTTCCAATGACTGAAATGATAAAGAGTAAAAGGTAAGTACATGGAACAAGTCGACATTAGGAGTAATCTGGCATTCTGTCAGTATGGATTGCATGCCAGTTGTCTGGTCTTTTCTTTTTGACAAGTAATGGGTTTATTTTGTATAGCAATGTCTTATTGCGTTGGGTCATAAGATACTTACTTAAAGCGAAGAGGGCAACTACCAAACAAAGGATCAACCTTTGCGATGTGTTCATGTTGGTATAGATGGAGGGGGGTTGTTTTGAGTTTAGGAAGGAGAAATTTTGCCAAGTGGAATAATGATCCGCAGGACGCCCGTTAAGAGCTAAAATGCGAGAGAACAACAGTCGTCCCCGTATGCTAGTTAAAGTATTGTGGTGATGATATGAAATAATTTATAGACCAAGTCGTATGACTTTAGTTGATACCAATCAAGATATTGATCGGCATGTTTGTGGACAATTTTTGGTGGATGAGATTATAACAAGGATGACACAAAGGATGAAACAGTAATGATTATATGAAGTTCTATATTAGCGGGCAGGTTTGTTTGCTGCAATTGGAAAATAATAATTGGACAAAATTTGATACCTGAACTAAATCCACTGTAAGATAAGGCAACGGGTGAATTTATATAGAATGAAAAGGCACAGCATCAGTCTGTACAAATAAAGCTTACGGTATATCAGGTTTAGTCTGTACGTTAATCGCAGGCCTTTAAAGAGTGCTCATGTGTTTTAGCATCATTTATTTTTAGTGCCTACCATTTATTTGATTAATTCATATCATATTCAAACAATTGTCTTGATTGATACTGTTTCAAGTCCGTAATGATCGACGGGGTTGCCAAGATTTTCGTCTAATTTGTGTTCTATATTATCGAAGTTTCACCCGCTTTCCCCTCCCGATCACCACCAGCACCATCTTTTTCGACTCCCTCCTCCTCCCTCCTCTCGATTCATCTCAAAGACGCTTGACAAAACTAACAATACTAATACCTACATCCAATCATCCATTATCCGGGTGGGTGGTTACGTTACGCAACCATTCGGGATGTAATTATAATCGGCCGTTGCATGGCTTATTATACCGACATATCCAAAATTAGCTTTTTTTATGACAAAGACATTCCTATATACATGATACTATTCATAGTCGTTCCAAAGTAAAGCATACAATACAGGTCTCTGCAAGTTTATATGGAAAATACAATAATATAACGTATTATGTTTCAATGGCCATTATCGTTTCCTTGACTTCAATTATAAACGACCATCAGATACCAAACCCGGATTTGTATTTTCCACAATTTGTCCCCGCACTATACTGCTGATCATCAGTGTGCGACAGTATGGTGAAAACGATCCACGCCAACTTCAATTAGTCCGTATTTACGGGTAGATCGGGATTCCTTTATATGACTAGTGTTATTCTAAAGATTCGGAATGCAGGCGAAAGTCTAAAAAATTCAGCGCATTAGATGACATGTAGCACACGATAATACTCTAGCAATATTAGCAAAATTAATTGCAGGTTTTTCGGTTCGCACAAAGATAAGAAGCGAGAGAAAGAAGGCAAGTGTACAACAGTGTATTATAGTACAAAGTTGACGGATTTGGCAACTGGTTAACTTATCGACGAGCGTACAAATATTGCGGGAAACTGTGATTGATTGTTTTTGAGTCCTTAAAATATTATCCTCTATGTTATATTATATTGGACTGTAAGAAGAATGAATATGAATATTTGTTTAATTTGCTTTTATCTAATTCTCATTATGTCACCAATAAAAGTCGAGTAAATAATATTCCGTTTTCCGTTTGTATTCATTAATTTTCTCAACCAGGTTAAATGTCTATTGTTTCTTAAAATACAAAATAGAAGACTGGATTTTCGGTAAAAGAAACTACTTATTGAGTTTATTATACGTGGTATTATTGTATAATGGGATTTCCTCGTTTTTTATTGTAAGACATGCACATATGGCATCGCATGCAATTTAATACATATAATTTAGAGAAAGGTTATACGTATTCATATAACAGTATGTGCAACCTATATTTGAATTACGTATATCGGTTATTACCATGAGCGCTACTACAGAAAAATAGTTACCAGTAAAAAACTAGAACATTCTCTTCACATGATGTATCTAAAATTGAAAAAGCTTTGAAGAGAGTTAAAAACGAAGGGTTGGTAGATAAATAATCATATAATATATTAAACACTACTAACTAATATGTTTTGGTATTTCAGCGATCGAAATACCTGCTTACAGGGATAATACTGATAACATTTATAGTATAATTAATTCGTCGAGGCGTAGCTGAAGCATGTTTAATACTAGTGCATACTGAATGCGTATTTCATCACATGAACCACCTGATTCTTGCTCATTGGATTTCCATTCGACCGGGAAGTGCTTGAAAGAACTATATCATACGAATAGCGCTTGATTGCTACTTAGTTTCGATGAGTACTGAGGTGAATCAATTCTTAATATACACATATATTACTATGATAACTATGTTTAATCAATGTCTCGCGCCTAACAATAGCAAATAAGCAAAACATGAAAACTATCCAATCACGGTGTAGAAATATGATGCAGCCACCTCCTATAAGGTCAATCACACTTCCCATACAATCATCATTTTTATAGTGATCATATGATAGTCACAGTCACCCGATTCCCCCCATTGCTATTGCACAATATGAGAAATTACCACATATTGTGTTATATTTAGGACTAGTGTCGCCTTTTCTTAATCAACTTAAATTCACGCGCGACGGTTGATATACAGGGGTCTGCAAAAAAAATTGGACAAATCACAACCAGTATTTCAAATGTCGTATGATACTGTATATATCATTTGAAAGCTTGAAACAAGTAGTTTTATTTGTGCATTATTATTGGGAAATTTGATCGCCATTATTTTCTAGCACTAGCCCACACAGTCTCTTTATTGATTCTACTAAACTAATTAGAGTTTCTGGAATAGAACTCTATTTTTTCGTCATAAAATGTTCTAATAAATCTATAGATTTTTGGGTATGCATTTTCTCACATGTCTTTTAACAATGGCCAAAGATTTAACAAGGTTATAGTCTGAACTATTAGCAAACTAGTATATAATTTCAGGAGCATATTTTTCAAGAAATGCTTGGCAGCCTGACTAGTATGTTTTGAAGTCATTATGAAAAGGTTAAAAACAACGCTAAAGTGTAAACAAATGAAAGATAACAGTTTCAACACACAGTTAATTGTATTCTACAAGGTATAAATTGATTATTTTGGAAAAAATTACACACACACAAATGACAAGGTAATTTTTTTTGCAAACCCCTGTACATGCCGAAACGCAAGGAACATTCGTCAACCTTAAGTTATAGAAAACTTTTACTCATCTATAATGCTCCAGCATTCTGTTGGATTCGTTCTTTACACATTAATAAATATTTGTCATAACATAATCAGCTTGATAACGTCATGAAACATGTTTGCATTTATTATTACATATTAATATTTGGTTAATGCGAAGCACGAATTGTGAACATGCCAAGCGACATCCGAAAAAGCGAAACATAGCGATATGGCAAATTATTTTAATGACAAGTTTAATCTTACGATAGACCGTTCGACTGTTAGCAAATTTTATTAAAATGGCTTGCAATCAAGCAGACTTTTAGAGCCACTGAATTCAATCATACATGCAGCGTGCGGAAGAGAGGTCACTGCGTTAGTAGATCGCCTGATATATTTTGACGCTTCCGCCATTTGCTTCAGTTCCAGGTTAAATCTTTGACCTTGTCCAGGGGTTAATCTTCCTGTTGGATTGCTCATAAAAGTGAAACTCGTCGTTTTCTTAAACAATTATAGTGATGCAACTATATTAATATGCCCAGTCGGCAGCAGCATAAGGAAATGTATGAGTTGTTATTAGATGTTGCATTCCACTTTGACAGCGGTTCAAGATACAATTGTATCTAGTTTAAGAAAGTTGACCACATCCTCAGTTATGATGGCAGTATATTATTATATTTATCATATGTTCAGATCAAGTGATGGAGGATTTACGATGACTATTCTAAATGCTGATTATCATATGAAAGATAGCCATCATTCTAAGGATGACTTTGTATTGATCTCAGCTATTAAAGCTGAAAGGCATAATAATGGCAGCGGCAAGCTCAGTTAAGAAATAATTATTATATTATCAGTTGGATGCTTTACGTATTGTCTGTTGAATATATTGCTATTCTCAGCTTCGAATATTGCTATATTAAGACAATCATTTCCACAAATATGGTAAACGGGCATTTTTATCAAAAATGTCTCGCCGTATTCCTTTATGTTAATATGTACTACAGTGAAATATGTCATAGCAAGGTGATGTGCTTTTTGGGGAAAATTTTTGTCAACACGTGTTTGTCATCTTTGACATAAAGTGCGCGTCGTTACTTTGAACCATCACTACCGTTGCAACTTCAAGAGGGCCACAAGTTTTTGATCAGCACAAAGCAATCAGAAAAAACTTTATTATTCTCTCCCGCTGATTCTCTTCACGTTTCCCGTAGATAAACTTTCTTATTTTGCGACCAGACAGGTCGTATACTATACCAACGATTCGTGTCGAGCACAAAAGAAGCGTCTGTGGCAAAGTGAGGCCTGTCGGAAGCTAGCAATAGCGAGTCATCCAGGCGATGGCTGGCTAGACTTTGATGTGCGGGAATTATGAGTGTCAACAGTTAGAGAAATATATGCGCGGGGGAGAGCGATCGTACACTGGCCTTGAGATTTAGTTTGCAACATATCCCATTGTGTTTGATCGATCAGCTAAAAAAATTTTGCACACCAATTATGTCTGAAATCCAGGCTAGTATTAGACCTGTCGGAAGCCAGTAGTGGTAAGTTATCATCCAGGCGGTGACTGGCACAGGTAGAACTAAACAATTTCGGCCTCAATTAAGCTGCTGATTTTTTTTCTGAAATCTGTCAGGAATGTATGTTAAAATATTCCGGTCATGCGTTATAGGCCGTCCGGTATTGACAACTCCCGGTTCTATTTCAACCCCTAAAATGACACATTTCGGATAGTTTTATGCTCAACTGACTTATGGATGCCATCTTACTGAAATCAGTATTATACAATCACACATTACACTTTTCAAATACTCATGCTACCATATATATGTAACATTTCGGACAGAAAATTAGGCGGAATGTGTCGTTTTGAATTAAAAAGTACTCGTGCCATCCATATATATGTAACATTTCAGCCAGGCACGTTTTCGAAATTAGGCGAAAATGTGTCGTTTTGAATTAAAAGTACTCATATCATCTATATATATGTAACATTTCAGCCAGACACGTTTTCGAAATTAGGCGGAAATGTGTCGTTTTGAATTAAAAAGCACTCATGTCATCTCTATATATGTTATATGTAAGCCAGGCAAATTTAAACGGAAATATATCATTTGGAATTTAAGTATTCATGTCATCTCTATATATGTAACATTTCATCCAGGCACGTTTTCGAAACTAGGCGGATGTGTTGTTTTAAATTAAAAGTACTCATCTCATATATATAATTAAAAAGCACTCATATCGTCTCTATATATGTTATATGTAAGCCAGGCAAATTTAAACGGAAATGTATCATTTGGAATTTAAAAGTACACATGTCATATATATTGTTGCGCCCAGAATTAGCTTATGCAAATAAATGGATTTAGAGTGATTAGTGGTTTGTGAAACTCGTGACAATTGCAGATCACGAGTAAATTCTTTATAAAATCTAGACGTGGATCAAGGCAGAAAGACAAAAATGGTCAAAATTGAACCACTTAGCACTTTGGTAAAAGTATTTTCATCAGCGAAGATTCATTTGCCAGACAAGCCATTAGATGAGACCAGGTGAGCAGGCATCACACTAGTTTTTTGAGAATCACCTCGTATTGATTGTATGGATTGCAGTGTTCCTTATCTGCTTGCCTCAGACATATCCGTGAAAGAATTCAATTCTTTCATTGAAAGCAAAGAGCCAAGTGGATACAAATTTGAGTACAACAACCGCTGTGTATATATAGTCGATATGTGCTCAAGTGAACATGAAGCTATTATTGAAGAATTGCGAGATTGCTTCCGTGCTCCCTTCCTTGGTACTCGCTCTATAAATTGTCCAGTACAAATTCGTGGACAGCCACGTAAGGGAATTTCATCCAGTTTACTTGACCCTTGGCTTATTGATTTCTAATATTTCGCATCATCTTCCCACAGTCCATATGTCACCAGCTCGAGACGGGTCCCATATTGCACCGGATCTCGCTATCCTTCCACATTATACTTACGTTCCACCGCCTCCCGTTTCCCACCCTGGTCCGCCTCCAAGTGACATAAGGGTAATTTGTCATATCCATTTTCATAATACCGATATGGTTATAGGTACTGTTGGTGATACTAATATGGGTGATGTAGGGAAACCCTTATGCTAGAATAATTTGTGAGGTAGCTGTGGCCCAAAGCTCCCCAAACTTGAACATCAAGTGCAGGCTATGGAAGCGGGAGGAGTACGCACAAGATGTACTCGGTATCAAACTTTACGATGTAAAGACTACACGCAACAACCCACAAGGAATGTTAGATCGGGCAATGAAGGTATATTTCGCTGTTTCATTATTAGTTAATTTTATATCTTAATAGTTTTTCAATATTAGGCTACGCTTTGGCGGTCAGGGGTCGCAAGGCGAAAGGTAAGGTTTACTTGTTGAAAGAACTTTCTACTTCCTGTGATGCTCAAAGTGCATTTTATATAACAGTGGAAATTTGGAACCGTGAAAAAAGACGGGTCTCCTATTGGCCCTAATGGTTGTAATGGCCCGAACGACCCAAACTATTTAATAACGATCCCCGTCGCCGATGTCTTTTTCGATCCGCCGGTTCCTAATATTGCGTATATTCCATTAGCACCACCTCCTCCTGCAGTCATGGCTACCAACTTTACTATCGACCTATACAATGTTCAACAGATGGTTTTGTATTATCAGCAAAAGTGAAAAACATTAACTACACTGTACTTCATAAACGTTTTTCAAACCCTTTCGCATAGTAATACCAACACCAAATTTCCCCTTGATATGCATACAGTAAGTCACGCGTTTTTCTGCTTTGATCGCTTTTTGGTATACTTTGGGACAATGATCCATCAGGTATCTCATTCTCATCGGCTTTGTCAGATTCACCTTTAGTGGGTGTGGATAGTTCGGTTATCAAACCTTGCACTTTATTCGGGGGTGCTGGTTCTCGGTCTTGCTCATTGTTGGTTTGATTCAACTGACTTTGTATGGATGCAGTCAGCGGTGGACTCTGATCGTCTTGTATTATTATAGTAGTTTATTGCGTTCGTTGATAGACATCACTGCCGTCTTCCTCCTTGATAATTTCGATGCGCAGTTTACATACCGGACATTTCACTTCGGTTCCCATGATAATTTCCTGAATGCAAGTTCGATGAAGTATATGTCCACATGAGAGTACCGTGAATGCTCGAAGTGGAACTGATAAAATTTGCCCGTTACATTTGTGGCAATTGCTTAGTGCCAGGATGTCGACTTTTTCATGCATGATGTAATCGTGTGACCTGCTGATTACCATATAGTAATTTTCGCCTTCATCACTTGATGCACAATCTTAACCTTATATGTTGATTATATATTTTCATTTGTCGTTTATATTTACGAATATCTTTTCCCAAATCAATATTCCGCACTAACCTTTTATTGCCTTTTCTGGTTGACGCTAAGCGAATTATCAGCATTCTAGTCGTAAGATTTCTGGAAATTTTATGCGACCAATTATATATACTGTTATGCATAACTGACGTACTTTCGCCCATCCCCCACCCTCCGTGCCATGCGTCTATTTATAAGAAATGAACAAATGTGCCGTAGCAATTTATTTTTATTGACAACTCCAAATGATTATAAATTTTTCTCTTTTGATGAAAGTAAATAAAGATAAAGTATAATACAAAGCATAATTGGGAAAGGATAAAGTAATAGTATACTGCAATAAATACTGCAATAATAATAATCGAACAAACACATTGATTATAACCGCTATGACAATATTTTCAATATTAAGCCCTATTTACTATTTTCGCCGCAACTCTTTTTTTTTTCTACAAAAAAAAAAAAAAAGCTTGTAGGTCGCTTTCGAATATTGTTTGCTCACTTCAAATTGCTTCGCCGATAATCACCAAAATTGGTTTTACCAAATTGCCGATCCAAATTTTATTTTCCCATAAAAGCAATCGACGGTTTCCTTACATGATTGTGGTTCGTCATATCAGGGTCACAATTATGTTGGCTTTCTATATACTGCTGATAGCTGTTACATCATAATTTCCTTCTTAAAATGAGCTGTCATAACCAACGTCACAATTACATTGATTTGTTCATGTCTTTCCTATACTGCTAAATTGCTGATAACCGCTACATCATAATTCCTTTCTCGAAATAAGTTATATCATACAATTACGTTAATTCGTTCATATATCTCCAAATTAATGATAATTTACTGATAACCGCTACATCATAATTTTCTTTTTCAAATCTTATTATCCCGTGATTAATGTCAAAATACGTTGCTTTGTTCATGTATTTTCTATTACTGGCGAATCGCTGACAATACTGACAGTTTACTAGTAATCGCTACATCATAGTTTATTTAAAAAAAACCCCCCAAAAACGATCAATATATATTGTGATCAAAACTAAGAAACCTTCCCTTAATCATTGCTACTGAAAAAATTTAATTAAAATGTCTTACGTTATCGATGTCTTTTCTCTCGACGCAGACGAAACGGTCTTGAATATGAATGATAATTCATGGCCTACGCATATCGATACAAACAATACTATGTCTTCTTCCTTAGACAAATCATCCACTAGTAACAATAATAAACTCCCAGAAACTAACAATTATTCATATTGGCGTCCTTGCGCTGCACTATGTAAAATTCTAAGTCATCTTACTCTAATGATGACTTTGCACAATTTCCGTGTATCCATGTTCATACTATTCGCGATTGCTATATCCTCATTCGACGAAATGGATAATTAGGGATAAAACTATTAGATATCCTTTCGAATTGTCCTTTCCTAAAACACCGCTTACTTCACACCCAAATGATCCAACAAAAATTGCGACATGCAGAAGTTGCAAGTCTCATCCTGATGGTCAGCTACGTCGTAGGTAGGCTTGCCTCAATACCTGCATGTATCGAAGACATTCCGTACGCGAAAAAAAATATCTCTCACCTGTCTACCTTCACACCAGTTTGGTCTGCAGGAGCTAATCCATTTGTCGAATATCGAATCTTAACAGGACAAATGGGATATTCTAAAAATAGAAGAGCATTAACTCTATATTCGGGCATGCTAGGCACTTCTTACAACAAGCAGATTTGTCCACTCCTGATAACTGCTGGTACCATCCATCATTACGTTATGCCTGCAAATGGTTACAGCGTAATAACCCTTATTTGGTTGTTTATCATTCTTTAGCCTCACGTTTGCTCGAACAAGGTGAACAGTCTCCAGCTAATTTGGCTGCAATTTGGCCACAAGCCATGCACATCTCTGAAGACGATTCCGCTCCTTATGTACACCAATCAGATATAATAATGCCTCGTATGTCTTACCCAATGAAATACACAATGAACATGCCCATAATTCTTGTCTAACCATAGGTTTTCTCTTAAATAACGACAAATAATGATTACCACTAAGCTTTACCGACCCAGAATTAGAAGCATTATTATTCCCGGATTTATTTCCTGATGGATGCGGACACTATGGTGACTTATACAATCAGTCTTCTACTCATAATGACAATGTGTTAACATATGGGAAATACATAAAAGCTAGACTAATGGGATATGATTCTCAGTTTAGACTACATCCAGTCTGGACAATGTGGTCTTATATGCAATTGGAAATTTTCAAAACACTGCATGTATACATTGTTGATGCAGCTTCTCAACATTCTGTCGTACAATTAGTGTGCCAAAGTCAGTACACAAATCAAATAATCATTGATGAGAATAAGTCGATACCATTGCCAACATTTATATGTACGGGTAATTCCTATTTCAAAGAAAAAGAGCACCATTTAAATACTATGGTAAAGGCCAAAAGACTAAATTATAAATCTTCCAGTCTCACATAAAATAAACACGAGGGGGCGCAGCCCCCCAAAGATGTTATTTCTAGTTGTGTACTAAAGTATAAAATTACAGAGAGACTTCTATAAGTGCATGCTCTCAGGCCTTGACGTTAGCATGCACTTAGGGAAGGTGTGCACTTATAGAACAACGAATAGAAAGCCAGAAAACTGTTACACAGAATAGTGACTAGTACTTTCTCTTTATTATCTTATTATCAAAATTATACTATCACATTGAAGTCAGACTACACTTTAAGAAAAATATGTGTCAATGTTAGTTTGATGCATTGAGCTTGTTTTCCTGACTTCAACAAACTTCTCAATATTTTGTAAAGAGGTGATATATTTTTCTGCATTGTCCTGTTGTAAAAGAAAGGCATGTACTATTTCCAAGTTAGCAATGGCTGTGCTAGCACTAATAACAGTACTTTCCTCACTATCATCTATGCTGTCTACATCCATAATTGCTTGATCAGTATCATTAAAGAGATATACAAGTTCGTGGTCATTGTCAGTAACTTCATAAATAATATGCTCTTCAGGAATATTGAGATATTCTTCTAGGGGCATTGTGTTCGATAATTTAAGTGCATTAAGTGCATTTGTAAAATCGTTGAGTAACAAGCAAATCAACAGGAAGAATCTTTGTGTGGCACCAGCAATTATGAATAGTTTCAGCACTGATCTCACCCCAGACTTGAATGATGAATTGAATTGCCTGCAAGACATTCATACATAAGTCTTCCACATGCTCCCCAGCCACACATTGCAGCATCAGGCTTTTTTCCTTTTTTTTTTTTTTTTTTAAAAAAAAAACGAATCACTTATAAGGTGTAAAATATATAATACTGAACAGATAGATATACAATAAATGTATTTACCATATATGAAGGCAGTGATAGTGCCTTTTAAAGGTTACTATAACCCCAGCATCCACTGAATTTGTGAGGTAGTGTTGGGAGGCAGAAAACAAATATCAGTGTATTGTAAAGTAAGACCAGCTAATGAATGACTGGAACAGTTATCGAGAAATAATAACACTTGTTCTCCTAGATGCTTTAAACCGACTTGATGATCGAAATTTTGAATCCACTCTTGGAAATCATCCAAGCTTTGGCATTATGACGGTACGTCATTGTTGATGTTTACATTTTTAAAACAATGTGGCTTCTGATATTTGCCAATGATAAATGGATCCAACTTGTGCATTTGCACATAATGCGACAGTAAGACATTCTTTATTCAATTTGCGACCAGAGATACGTCTGGTCGATCAGGTTCTAACCTATAAATGATTGACACCAAATGTAAGCAAGTTGAGTAATGGTAATTGCACATAATTAAATATAACACTTTGCTAACTTCTTTTGTGGGGTGAGACTAGCAAGCCAGAATATAATATTTTTCTCTTAAACAATCTTATGTAACTGTAAAATAACCCAGTTTCGTCCATATTATATATTCAGTCGAGGGAGTAATTAGAGAGACATTCTCTTAACAATGGTAAAGTATTAGAAATGGCATTTTCATCAGCAGACATAGCTTCTCCTTCAAGTTTTTGCTGGCAAATGCCATTATGATACTTGAACTTGTGAAGCCATCCTGATGAACATTGTAATGTATCTCGTGGAATTTCTAATTCACTAACAAGTTTTCAATAAGAATGGCATCACTTAACACTGTGCGATGTTGATAGTTTAAAATAAATTCCTTAAGCGAGAAGGATATAGTACGGACTTCTGTCTTTTTGCATCCAGACTAACTGGTTCCACAATAAGTCAGTTTTCTCCTGTTCTTAATATTCGAGTAATGGTACTTTCATGAACTCTAAGTCCCCATTGTTGTTCAACCCAATTGACATATTCAGGCCGTGTCTTTTTATTAGTACATGCATAACTACAAAGGGCTCGCTTTTGAGAATCAGAAAGAGTAGTTCTCTTGAGGGACATTTTAAGTCAACACTCTAGTGCGAGACAGCCATTTACGACAATTATTGATTGTATCATTGTGGCGTTTATGTCATCTTTGCTTAATTTGGAAAATGTGATTAAAATTTTTACTATTTTAGCAAATATCTTATATCAATTGTCGGATCGCCACACGTGGGAGAGCGTTCGTGTAACGACCTTGGGATTTAGTCGTCTTCTGGCGGAACTCTTAGGCTCGTTCCTACTATCGCTAAACCGCTATGCAATTAGTGACT